GTCCCTGCAGCGTGGCACCCAAAAAGGCTGAGCATGTGCTTCAACACTGTCAGCTGTACGCTGACAACCTGGCCTATTCCAACCAAAATGAAGACAAATCTGTATGGTACACTCGAGGATATAGACTGCAGGATAGCTTTCATAAATGCTGCCGACCTCCTGAAGTTTTTTGACAGAAGGATCGAAGAAGAAGAAGAAGAAGAAGAAGGATGATAATTAAATGAAAGAAAGCGCAGTCAGAAACGGAGGTGCGGGAGTGTACATTGAGTATCCTAATAATACCAGGGATACAGCCAAATTACCAACGGGAAAGCACTGTCACAACTATGATGCAGAAGTTCAAGCCATCAAGATAGCGGTAGAGAAACTACTAAATACAGGGTATTTTTCACAACCAGTGGTATTCCTGACAGATGCAAAAGCAGTACTTCAGTCACTCCAGTCTGGAAAATTACCAAGCATACGGACACTATTATCCGAACTAGGCAACCGCTGTAAATTAGTAATGCAGTGGATACCTTCCCACTGTGGAGTTCCCGGAAACGAAAAAGCTGATCAACTAGCTAAGGAAGGTGCAACTGAAGAACAACCTGACATACCAGTCTCTTATCAACAGAAGAAGAGAATGATCAAATCAATCAGAATGCCACCGAAACTGGCACAAGATGATTACCATATTATGGACAGACCAGAGCAAGTTATTATCCTTCGCCTTAGAACAGGGCACAATAGACTTCGCTCCCACATGTACAACAAATTTAAGATTGGCCAATCGGCCATGTGTACTTGTGGACTGGCACCTGAAACAACAGATCACATCCTTCAAGACTGTCCCATATTCAACGCTTTCAGGCAAAACATTTGGCCAAAAGAGAAACTTGTGGAAGTCAAACTTTACGGGCCGCTTAGTGAATTACAAAAGACAGTGAAATTCATACAAGAGACGGCTTTGCAGATATAGACAATTTATTTCATGCGAACGAAAGAAGAAGAAGAAGAATTAAATGAAAATGACTTCCACAAGGACTTGAATTTAAGTGAGGAAGAGCTGCGCAATTCGTCGCCCTCACTCCATTTTGATCCAGTGGCAGGACAATGTTGAGACAATTGGAAATGGACCTAGCTGCAGTGGATGACCAGGGTGTCTTAAGTGCACTGCCTTGTTCGAAGTTCTCCAAAGAGCCTACTGGTAATCCCCTTTTTGTCCGTTGAACCATAAAAAGAGGTTTCCTCCACACAATCCGCCGAGTTCTGTCTTTGCATGCAGTGTTGGCATTTCCCAATCACCGAGTGGTTTAGAACCAGGTCGGCTACCTTCTCCTGGTTTAGCCATCTCATGAAAGCTGTCGCCCGGGGGTGGCCACTGTCGCATGCTGACAGCTGCTAGGAGCCACAGGAGAGAGCTGAGTGCCAGTGGTGAACTGCCCTAAGAAGAGCATGACGGTCACCTTGCCAGAGGTGCTACTATATACAGTGTTCAAGTCACGTTACATTTATAAGCATTAATAACAAGAAAGGAAAATAATGCTTTTTATGGAAGATAAAAAGGAACTTAATCCTGAAAAGCATAACATCAATAGTGGAAAGAAAGGTGAAAAATTAGCCTGTAAAACTAGAGAAACATTAATTAATTTCACACTTAAAACTCAGATTAATACTAATTCGTGTTGTTTTAATAAAGACTGGGTGTTCTACACATTATTTTTTTTTAAAAACTATATTTGAAAAAAAAAAGTTATTTGTATGTTCTTCAGACGATGTTGCTGAGCCAACCCCAGCATTTTTTGGTTGTTTGTGATTTCATTAAGCAATATTATGTTCACTAGTTTGCCAGTGCTTACTAAATGGTTGGCTCTTGATACAACTGTTAAAACTAACATAGAGGTGTCTTCTGCCAAATCACCCACAGCTGGAATTAAAACCGACATCCAGAATTATGAAGCACATTCGCAACCCTGAAGCCACAGACGCTGACTTTTTGCATTTATGCATAGTTTCAAATAACAAATACAACTAGTGTCTGAGAAAATATACATTTTTTAATTTAATTTGATAACAACTGGTCCCACAAATTCATTTAACATAAAGTTACACAAAACTACTGCATACAGTAATCACATTTATAAATGCAGTGAATATTCAGTAAGGTGATAATTTTTAGCACAAATAAAAAAGCAACAGCAATTCTATCATCTTCAACTAGTGCTTCCCAACCTCTTTTGTGCCAGGCCACATTTAAGCCTTTCTAAAATTCGTATGTCCCTGCAATAATTCTGCTTGCTGGGAGCGTGGGCCACTACGCAAAGCACATCACCCTATGTAACTTAAACTCTAGACAAGTCCATTTTCAAACTGCCCACCTTAACAATCAAACTGCCCCCACCCTCCTTTACAATCAAACTGCCCCTCTTTAACATTCAAACTGTCCCCCCCCCTTAACAATCAAAGTACCCTCCCCCCCCCCTAACAATCAAACTACCCCCCCCCCCTCCTTAACAATCAAACTGCCCTCTGTGCGGATGTAGGCCCAATGCTAGGAAACACTGTCTTAAACTGTAATTTAAAAAAAAACATTTAAAAAATTATACATTTTCATTTAAGTACCTTTACTAATATACACAAACACATTGTAAATGACATTATTAATAATGGCAGACTTTTTTTATTTTAATTAAGGCACCATTTGAAAGTAATACTGGTAAAAAAACAAAAAAAAACAATACATCTCTAACAAGAAATTATGTTTTAATTTTAAGTAATCAATAGTAAGTTATATGGACAAGCTAAATCTGATACCTGTTTTCATAACTTGAGGTCCAATGGGCACACATTGCTGGCCGCATGTTTTTATAGACAAAATGAATGTGGTTTATATTACACCAGCCGTCTTCTCAGAACATAGGTAAAAAAAAAAAGCCTTGATGTGGATCCAAACCTATGACCATCAAGTCAGCAGGCGAGGATGCTGATTCCTGCATGATCACAGTTCCCTGCTGACCAGTAGCTATATCCTTAATGATTAAGCCTGTGTTCTGATATATTCAAGTTTATAAGCGAGACTGGGAAGCCAGTTTATATGAAAAGGAAAGGTTTGGCAACACTGAAGTAACTTGGCAGCCAAACATAGTAATTTGGCAGCCCAAAAAATTGGCCTATTATACACATCAGAGAGCAGTGACGGCGTTGCTGTTCCGGTCAGTAAGACCGTTAAATGTCACTCAGTGAGCACATGCACTATGCTGTCATCCCATTCAAAATGGCTGCATGAGATGAGCAAATGAGTCTGCATGAAAAGAGGAGGTCTCTGTGGCAAAGCAGTCAGACCACTTGCCTCACGGTCTGCAGGTGGTAGGTTCATTTCATGCACTCTGTTGTTTCGTTAATGAGTGCAACCCATGGGAGTCACCACTAGAACTACGTTCATGCTCTGTATGATGCTCTCATCAGGCTGCTAGTCATTTTGTGAAGAGAGGGCTAGCCATTTTGTGGAGACAGACCAGGCCATAAACCTAGTGCAGTGAAGTCAATCATCTCAATTTCAAAGTATATTACATATGGTGGACACAAATTACATCACTCAAAATATATCTATTATCTGGAATGTTTATAGGGACCGTCTGAAACTGGTAGCAAATGTTGGAAGAAAAATACTTTCTCATTTGTTGCTCTGACCCCAATCCCAACTTTCAGATGTTTAACTCATTCAGTCACAGTCAACATGCCAGATGTGATCAGGTATTGCCTACAGGTACCAGACAATGAACACTGCTATCTGGTGTTCAGCTTAATACTACTATAAAACCATGGCTAGTTACTCCAAAAACCTTTAGTATTTGTGTTGCTTCATCTGTAACAACAATGCTGTCATGGTTGTTTATGTTCACTGAGACTATCATTACTTTGGAATGGACTGTTATAAAGTTAAAAGGATCTGTGGAATGATAAGAAAGTGGTAAGCTTGGAGGTGTAAAAATAGTGAAGTATACTTTTCAAATGTAAAAGTAATGAAGCAAAATTGTAGTCATTTTTACTTATCTGTTAAATGTTTTCCCAATTTCTAGCCAACTACACAATAAATAAGAAAACATTTGGAGAAAAAAATATGTATTGCCTTGATTAATGTTTTAATATATGTTAAAATAAATGTAGCTAATGGGACCGTTAAAACTAATTTTTTTTTTGTAACCAGGGATGAATAGTATCCATTACTTAACTGCCTGTTTGTGTGCTAAAAAAAAATCTGCTTGTACATCCTTATTTAGTTCAATGTTTCAGCATGACTATGAGTCTAAAATACTAGTTCAACAATATCATGGTCACAAAATGGACCTATTATATAAACTGTCAGAGTTATAGTAAGTTAGGTGTCTGGATACTGTAGCTTTGAAGTCATGTATTGAGTGTCCATGCTTTAAAAATTAATAGAAATTCTTGTAGTTACATGCAGATTTCACCTGATGATGTGACTAGAACATTCTTATACAACAACAAAACCACCTGCTTTCCATCATACAGTAGTACTGGTCTGACATTACAGCTGAACATAATAAGTGTGGTGATGGTTTTAATTATGTTCATTCCATAAATTGCTAGTGTTTGTATGAAAGCTTCATTAACCTTAATTTGTTGCCTCTGTTGTCCAACTTCATAAATTATGGCAACATTTATATTGAAGATTTTATCATTAAATTAAAACTGGTCTGACATTATGGCTGAACATTCTAAGTGTGTTGATGGTTTTAATTATGTTCACTCCTTAAATTGCTAGTGTTTGTATGAAAGCTTCCTTAACCTTAATTTGTTGCCTCTGTTGTCCAACTTCATACATTATGGCAACATTTATATTAAAGATTTTTTCATTAAATTAAAAGTTTGTTCACGCTATTTCACTCAAAAATTACATTTTATGCAAACAGATCCCACAGCCATAAATTTTAAAGAAATAAAATAATAAATAAGTTTTTGTTGTAAGTTTCATCAATTGCTTGGCAACCTCGGCATCAGTGAGCTGGTGGTGATGGTTTGTCGCCAGTTCCTCCGGCAAGATTATAAACTAGCAGACCCACCTCATAGCCCAGCTTGTCAGCATTTGCCTGGAAGGACAACAACTAACACCATCAGAACAGTAAAAACAGAAACAATAACTGACATTGAAAGTTCCTATCCAGAAGTTATTGAATAATGCCTATACTAATATCCATCTAATGGGCTCCAACAAGTCTAGGGGACTTAGCATCCAACACAGTTTTATCTACTATTTCTGTGTTATGGACTTTGCCAATTCATACCCGTTTTGGGGGAGGGGGGGGAGATGATTTCAGGTGGTCACACACATGTCAGCGATCCAACTGGCCAGACAGATACATGATTCCTCTCAGACTCAATTCAGTTATTTTGTGTATTTTTGTTAATGTTTAGGGTACCGTATTTACTGATGAAGGCTCTCTAGTTGCATTGTTCACTGGTCGCTTGTGTTTGTGATAATGCGAAACTGTCAGCTTCTACTTTTCATGACTATTAGAAAATAATAGGCTGAGATAATAACTTATTAGTTATTATTAAAGGTGGGAGACTGAAAACAAGATGTAGATTAAATATTACATATTCTAGAAAACAAAATTAACACATATTGCCAATATAAATGTACCTCAATGGCTTTGACCTTAATGAGAACATTTTGTTCTATGATCATCAACATATTAGGATTAGTCTTCCACTATATGGGTTTAGAAAAAGGTCATTCTCGTGACTTTCTGAAAGTTGTACAAGAATACAACTTGGAAAATACAGGGGTCTCCGCAAGCAAAATTCCAAAAGACAGCAGTGGATGTATTTTTCCAATTCTGTAACCAACCTTTACAGTGCAGATGGCATAAATTCTCTCTGTCTCTCTTTATATATATATATATATATATATATATATATATATATATATATATACCACCCACCCACATACATACACAGACAGACAGACAGACACATATGGAGAAGGTTTCCATATTTAAAAAAAAAAAATTAAAAGTAACCCAATAAACTAATAAGAAATTATTGTTTCTATTTCCTGAGTTATAGTAATCAAACAGTATCTTCCTTATTGCTGCTTATGTCTGAAACCTATATCAAAGTGAGCTGAGTGCTAAAGGAAAGCTGTTCTTTAAAACCAAGTAAACATTTAGGAGCATGGGTTCTAATCATACTCTCTAAGATATGCACCCCCTTCCCCTACCTTAAATTTATTCTAATTGTTTTCATTTCTACTGTTTTTGTAAGCAAACAAGTACATAAGAAATGTATACACAGCAAATGGTGAATGAAACAATAAATGGATCTGGACTATTATATCATCATGTAGGGGGTAAATGTCGGCTCTGTGGCTAAGTCGATGCAAACGCTTCGCTTTGAAATGCCGGGATGCCAGGTTCGATCCCAGCTGCGGGCAATGCGCCTTGCCTTGCTTTCGACAGTATCAAGAAAGCCGACCGTCCAGAAAGCAATGGCAAACTACTGGACGTAAATTGCCTAGAGAAACCACACAACAGCCAGGGGCTGTTAGGGTTGGTTCTGCAACGTCCTGTAAAGGATACGCAACTAACTTTTAGGGGGTAAATAATTTATAGTAAAATTACATGCAGTTAAATCTTAAGTTGACAAAGAAAGTACCTGAGTGTCAGCCTCTGCATATACTCTCACAACATCTTCTGTACCAGATGGTCTGCAGACAAATAATGTGAAGTCAAGTTCAGCTAGGTACTTACAAAATATTGTTATTCCATGCAATTGTTTCTTTTTCTAATCAACTCTATGTGCCTGCGCTTCTCTACAACTTTCGCCAGCATCAGCAATTTCCATTATCAATTTTTATGACATAAACAAATGCCTAGTTTTTTTTGTTTTGTTCTCTCCATAATGCATTATATCCCTGTTTGATTCTCCATACCATGACTATAGTATCTATCATGTCAAATCCAACAGCTTGCCGAAAAACTCTCTTACAATCTGTGCATGGTGACAGGGGCCAAAGTATTTCTGATGTTATTTCGGGTTTGAAATATCTTCTTCTTCTGGTTTGCTTTTTAAAAAATGTGGTTATGGTTTACAGCTAGGGTGTGATATTTGTACCCTCGAGCCGAAGACATCCGATTTCAGCAAATCCTTAATTAGTCGCCCTTAACGACATACTTGTTAAGGAGCAGCAGGTCAATCCACCCTCCTCCTCCCCCCCCCCTTCTCTGCTAATGGGGTATGGGTAAACCACAAAGGGAGATCAGTAACATAATATTAATGATTCTGCTTCCTTGTTTACACTCAGATCTCCCCGTTAATCTCTCAAATAAAAGCAGTAGTTTCAGATTCATGATACTCCCATGCGGCTGGTGGAATAGAGATGGCTGCTGTCATATTTGTATACATCCATGGATGCAAGCTGGGCATAACTGCATAAGATGACTGGCCATCATAGCGTTATTGGAACACACTGAATGATCTGACAAATCTAACTGAAACTTGTGACAATCAAGGATGGTCTTTGGTCTACTTTGTATGGAAGCTCTTATAGAAGTGTATGCTTGGCATAAAAAATGCTTAAATAATTTTCTTGTTGAATCAAACTTTTTCATGCTTTTTTGCTGGCACCTTTTCCTCTTTCCAGATGAATGATAATGCTATATTGTGCTATGAGGATACATGGGACTCACAGCCCATGGCGAATGTGACTAGCAAGACCGGCCCACATTAGGAAAAGTCTTTCACAATTAAAGGATGGGATTTCAGTACTCTTTTTGCCATCACATGCATCAAGCTTTCATCCTTTCTGCAGTAATATTTTTTCCCTTCATTCTCCTTCTCTTGCTGATTTTCCCCTCCACTCCACGCCATCCACTAAATTTTTCAGCCCCTAAAAAATGTACATCATATGGAGAAAACTAGAGATGATTGAAGAGGGCTTACTGAGGCCTAGCAAAGACGGAAACATTAGCTGGAGCAAACATTCCTGCAAGCTCTCAAACTGGAGAAAAGATAAAATCATTTTAAATTAAAACACTTAACACAGGTGTGCATACCTGACAAATGCACGGCCATTTTTATAACGAGAAACAATCTCATCAATAGCTTCCTGCAGCCCTTCTGGTTTTGTGGTCCTCCTTTCAGCATCAGTTGTTTCTACAACCGAGCGATCCTTCACCTAATTATCACAGACAGACAGGAAAAACATCAATGAATACTTGTAAGCTCAATGCAAGGTAAAGGTCCATACAATACAAATGTTACATTCATCATCATCATGTGACACATTGTATCAAGAATGCTGTTTCCTAAACAGCAGGCCTCCATTCAGTATCAGCTGTTTCTACCACCTACAACCGAGAATTCTCCACTTAATTACCACAGATATAGGTCTTATAAAACATCAATGAGCTCTGCTAGTCAACAGAAATGTGTCAATCGTAAATTGTTGTTGCTGTGTCAATTTTTGTCAGATAGGGCTCACAGTCTGCTCTTCCATTCCAATGTATCCTGTACAATCACTCTGATATCATGGAAGGAATCCAGTCCAAGACCTTTGGCTTCTCTAATTAACATTTGCCTTAGCTTTCCCTTGGACATCCTTGTTTCCTCAATTCTGCTATTTCTTATTTCAGTACCTGTTTAGTGATTCTATGTTCATCTCTTCTCAGGATGTGTCCGGTACAGCGTCATCTTCTCTGTTTTAAAACTGTTGATACCTGTGGTTGTCCAAGCATTTCTCTCATTTCCTCATTTCTCTTGAATTCACCCCATTTTATGTCCATCATTTTCCTCAGGCATTTGTTTTCATTATATATCTCTAATGGTTCTGCAACTTTCACTGGCAGATGTTCAAACTCAAAAAACATATTTGTAACTTGGTTTTAAAACTTTATAATTTAAGAGTTCCATATTTTGTTCAACATGCGTTTAATAATAGAGAAGTGTAGAGAATTTAATGTAAATCTGTTCTTATGTTTTGTAGATTATTCAAAAGCATTTGACTGTGTACAACATCAGAAGCTTTGGGAAATCATGAGGAATATGGGCTTTCCATCACATATAGTGCAGCTCATTAAAATGCTCTATCAAGATCAGCAAGCAGCAGTCAGAATAGATGGAGAGACATCAGACTGGTTTGGCATCAAGCAAGGAGTCCGTCAGGGATGTGTGCTGTCACCGTATTTGTTCAATCTGTACGCCGAAAATATAATGAGAAATGTAAGAGATGATATAAACAAGGAACAATATGATGCCCTAAACATCGGTGGTCATGAAATACCAGAAATTCGTTATGCTGATGATACAGTATTACTATCAACATCACAAAGTGGTTTAGAAAACTTATTAACCTCACTCCAAAGAAATAGTGAAAATCATAACTTATTTCTTAACATAGCAAAAACAAAGATAATGCATACAAACAAAACTGCCATGGAGAAGGAAATATATGTTAATAAGGAAAGATTGGAAGTGGTGGAAAATTTCGAATATCTTGGGTCACTGGTTACCAACAATGGTGACACAATGAAAGAAATTAAACGGCGACTATCAATTGCTCTTCAAAGACTAAAACAACTGAATAAAGTATGGAATTGTACAGATAGAATTACAAAGGTCAGATTTTTAAGAGCATGCATCTTTCCCATTGCAACATACGCCTGTGAGACCCGGACACTTACTAAACAAGCGGAACAGCGCATAAATGCATTTGAATATAAATGTTACAGACAGGTTCTAAGAATATCTTGGGTAAAGAAAAGAACAAATGCATCCATACTTCAAGAGCTGAATATTGAAGAGGGTTGGCTAGTAAAGACAATAAAACAAAGAAAATTGAAATATTTTGGTCACTTGAAACGTCATGGAAGTCTAGAGAGAACAATAATGGAGGGGTATATGCCTGGGAAGAGAGGAAGAGGAAGGCCAAGGAGAAGATGGGTGCAGGATGTGGCAGATGATCTCCAGATGGGTGTATCAGACGCAGGACATCTTGCTCATGATAGGAAGGTTTTCCGGAGGGTTGTTATGGCAGCGAGGTTCCGCGAGGGACATGCTACTGAATGAATGAATGAATATTTTGTTCAAGTTTTAACAAGCTGCTGATGACTTGCCAATGCACATCATGATTTTTTTCTTTGTGTTTCCTTTACTATAAAGATTACTACCTAAATAAGTAAACTGATCTGTTTCCATGATGTGGTATGTCAACTGTTCTGACTGCCTCTTCTATTTCCTAGGAACAATAACATTAATTATTAACTTTTCTAGACAATTATATCTTTTAATCTGATAAAATGTGGGCTACTTTTCAGTGAGAAACGACATACCTTAACCTTAATTTGCCGAGAAGGCAGATCTGTATAAGCCGAGTCCCAGTCCTGACATGTCCAATCTCGGCTTGCCAAAACAGTCTCCACAACCAACAAGTCTGATATAGCATCGCCAACAGTCTGCAAATTAGGGTTAACATAAAGAATAAATGCAAAAACACAACATACCTAATTTCACAATTGTTGTGGGGGGGGGGGGGGGGGGGGGGGGGGGGGGGGGTGGGGGGGGGGGGGGGGGGGGGGGGGGGGGGGGGGGGGGGGGGGGTGGGGGGGGGGGGGGGGGATATATGTATGTGTCAAATTTTATCAGTGCAAATTATTTGTGTGAAAATCGTATTACATAGCATTAATAAACCCCCATGAGCATTCCTGAGCCACAGTTTGGGGGATTTAAGGGCAACTAATTAGAAGTTCTCTTAAATCAGATATGTTAGACCTCAAGGTGTAGATATCCCAGACTAACTGACAACCACAGCACAATGTGCCAACCACAATTTAAAGGGTGAATGCAGAAGAAATATCTTCTTTTTCACGATGACTGGCTGTAAACTCTGGAGGAAAGCTCAAGATGTTCACCAACTTCTGGACTTATAATCTTATTCCAGAACATGGATTTTTCATGCAAATCAGTTCACAGACTGTTGGTTCCTAGCCTCTCAGACAGAAGCACTCCAACCTGAAAGGAAACATCCCTAATTAGTCTACTCTTATGACATTCTTGTTAGTGGCAGTTGGTTTGTTTCTTTTTTTCCCCACAACAGGGCCCCAAAACCCATATAGAATAAAAAGACACACAATATACAATAAACATCAAGCTAATCCACTTATTTTATTTGTGCATCCTTAACCCTACCAGACCGCTGGCCCGGTTTACCAGGAATTTCTTAACCTGTCTCTATACCGCTGGCCCTAATTTTCGGCTTTTTGCGTAGTACGGGAAAACGATGCGTCACAGACTAAAAATAACCACCCAATCGTTATCAGTCCTCTTTGTTAGACATTGCAAATGTCTGCCCGCATGTGTTTGGATTATATTTGTGTTGTTTTACTTGGATAAATTCTGAAAATTCACAATGAAACGAGCGGCTGATGAACCAACTTCTAGGCTTTTCACAGTCCAACAGGTGATCGTTACTTTGGTTTATTCAGACTCTGTGATAGATAGATATATATATATATATATATATATATATATATATATATATATATATATATATATATATATATATACATATATATATATGTATATTTATATATATATATTGAAATAGATCGATAGTAGGAGAAGGGGGTGTGTCCATCAAACTGCAACATCTGGTGTTCACTTTGTGAATCAAAGTTGATCCTGATGAGTGAATTCGCACACAAAGGTGGAATATTGGCGCCAGATAAAAGGTAAGCCTATTTTCTACAATGACTGCAAGTTTCACCATATTCTAGCCACTCGTTTGCATGTAACTAATATTTTTGTATATCATGTTGGTTTTTTCGCGGTAATGCCCAGGAGCTCAGGTTATAGAGACAGTTAGGTTCAGGGCCTCATGTCTGCTAGGGTTAATGGTATTATATTGTTCTCAAAAACCATGTGTAATGACTTTGATTTTCTTACTTGGTTGATAAGGTCCATAACTGTGGCCAGTCTTACAGTGGCACTCTTTCTGCTGTCATCCAAGCTAAAGAAGTGACAAGTTGAAAAAGGTATGATAACAAAAATACCAATATATTAAATCTGTTGGTACTAAGTGACTCGCCCTGAGTTTAATGGTTATCTGTTTAAGATACACATTTCCTTACTGCTTCTGTCTCATTCTTCTGTCATATTAATCCACTCTAGCATTATTGCAACTTCACAACTTCTTCCATTCCATATCTGCATTACTTAAAAGAGATACGACTCGAATATTGTTAACTCTAATGTACAAAACTTTGGGATTTAAAGTGTTAAGTATTAACTGATGGGACTAAAAGAGTTAACTCTTTTATCTTATCTTTATCTAATTATCTTCTTCTTCTTCGTCGCGTTCCCCAGCTGTAAACTCTGGCGGAAAGTTCTGGTTGCTTATCCACTGCTGGACTGCAGCCCTGTTCCAGAACTTGAGTGTTGCGTGTGCATCCGTTTTACAGATCTGACTCATTTGTATGCAGACTGCTGGTTCCTTGCCTCTCAGGCAGATGCACTCCGACTTTGAAGGAAGCTCCCAATTAGTCGACTCTTACGACATGCTTTTGGGTAGGCAGTGGGTCTATTCTTGTTTTCCCTATAATAGGGTCCCGGAACCCACATGGGGGTTTATCTAATTATGATTCAAACTATTAAAATCAGAAATTCAATGTTAAAATTCTTTGTATCTCTGACAATTATTACATTAACTCCTTTTGACTCAGACATTCATAATGCTAAAGTAGCAATACCTTGTCTACAGAGTTATGGAAAAGCAAAAAGCTCCACATAAGTGGCTCTGTCACAAGTAAATTCTTTCTGTTCTGTTCAAGCACAAGTTTATGAACAACTTTTATTGTTTATTAGTAACTGGTAAATTTTATATAAAGCTATCTAAGAAGACACAGACTGTTTACATCATTATACAAACCTCTCATCCAAAACTTGACTGGCAATTATTTTTCTAGCATTATCACTGAACAGTACCTTGAACACAATAAGCAAATAATTACTTTTAATAAACAGTCATTATATGTGTATTTATTTTTAAAAGGAAGTAAACAAATTAATTCCCACCAACAATGTGAAAAATGTTAAAGATTATGAGGTAAGATTACAAGTATCCTTCCTATCCCTTCCTTTTTCAAAATCAGATTTGATGCAGCGACTAATTTTATAATTTGTTGTACATAATCAATATAGTCAGGACAGAACGGAATGGGGGACTAGACTGCAAGCCCTATGTGTCGCATAATGGCACCACAGGATGATGATGATGAATCAATATAGTGGGTTTTGATCTTAATCAGTATACACATAACAGTTCAGCCTCCTTCCATGAAACTTTCTGGATATGCAGGTACCGTCTATCAAAGCAACCAGTTTCACCTTTTTTTTTAAAATTAGTTTTAATTTGTACAGCAAATATTTTCCCACATTTACTCCAAATATTTTTTTCTGAATTTTCATTGTTTTAATCTATACTTTGCCGGTCAAGTGGTCATGTGTTTAAATCCCCATTGAAACAAATTTTTTTAATCAATCCTGACACCAGGAAATGTTCTGGGAAGTATAGCAATGATCTGATACTAATCACACAAACCCAAAGAATGCTGATTAATTTATTAACCCTGTCGTTCTGAAAAACTGCAAAACTAAAACTTCCAGTTGAGAACAATTCTTATAAAGTCCCTGGATCACAGCATGAGTCACCCGATATATATATATTATATTTTTTTAGGCCCCGAGGAATGTATTCCATTTAATGCCACACCCTGGTAATTTTTACTGATTACTCCTTTTATATATCTTTACATATTTTGAGAGAGAGAAATTTTTTTAACTCTGAGAAATGCATTTGTTAAAAGTGCATTAGTAATCTGCATTAAATGTTTTTTTAAAGGGAGGGGGGATTTCCATGGGCCCACAACCCATTTTTTTCTCATTCCCAGGGTGAGAGGTTGACATACAAACCTAGCACATTGTGCCTTGAGGCATGGAAATAGGTCCTTTACTTAACATTTCTTTTTCAACACACTTCTAGCATAAGGATTTTCCCTACCCTATTATATTACCATAACATTAAAATTTAGGGTCAGTTACTTCCATCTTTGGCTGTAACAGTAACAGAATTAAGATTGTGAAAATCTAAAAAGACTTTTGTTTTCTTCTTATTAGGAGAACTATAACCAGAGTACAGCAAAAGAGCTTATAGCCTCCAGTCTCAATCATCTGCCCCAAATATTAGCTTCCTTTAAGAATCGGAATTAATGTGAACTTGATATTTCAGAACTATGATATTCAAATAGACAGTTCAATTACACTAGGTCAACTACTGTAGGAAGAAGTTCATGAATGTAGTTTATTAATCATAAGTAGTCCCTAAACCATAATTTATCAGTGTTCACAAATGTAATTATTTACTTATGGTTTCACAATATTCAATATATGTTACATTTTAAGAAAATGGCAAATCTTACTGTGCCATGTCCATTTGCTTCAAAATACACCCCAATGTCAAAGTCTTGAGCTTTATGGTGAAGATACTTGACTCCAGTTGGCACGCAAGCAACAGGAACTTTCTGTAAACATGATCACAAGAGCATCAGCTCAATATTTTATAGGAAAGAAAATAGTCCCCTCACAAAAACAAAAATAAATTACAGCAACAAGTATATTTTTAAAAAAGGAAATGATAAATGTATGAGAGAAAGTCAATAAATTGCAAATGGTTGTTTTAAAAAAAAAAACTAAATATACTAACAACTTCAAAACTGTTTATTTTTACACATACACAGTCCTTTTATTTTTCCACATAATTTCCACCAACAATGATGCACATTTCCCATTGTTTTATCAGTCCTCCCAAACCTGCTGCATAGAATTGCGTGCTCTGTTTTCTAAACCACATTTTCACTTTACAATCAAATTCTGCGTATTTTGCTAAATGTCTCCCGCCAAGGTTGGTTTTTAGTCAACCAAAAAGGTGGGAATCACTAGGGGCTAAGTCGGGGCTGTAAGGCAGATGTTCCAGAAGTTCCCACCCTAGATGGTTAATTTTCTCCTGAGTTAACCAAGCCATATGTGGTCTGGTATTTTCATAAAGGAGCAGTACTCCTCTAGTCAGCAGGCTTGGATATTTTCTTTAAAGTGCATCAAGAAGCATCAATAGAACTTTACAGTATAAATCAGCATTCACATTGTCACCTTTTTTTTAAAACTGGTTAAAAGCACTGCTTGACAATCCAAGAACACTGTCAGCTTAACCTGCACCGATGAGTCCGTAGAAATCTCAACAGGACAACCAAATCGGACTTCATCAACAATTTTAGAGTGCCCTTGAAAAATTTATTTTTACCCAGCTATGCACCGCTTTACAGGATAAACATTTGTCAACATAAACAGGAAGCATTTCCTTATGAATGTCCTTTGCAGGCAGCCTTTTTGCCCCCTACAAACTCAAAACTGCATGTTGCTCTTTAAGGATACACTCTGTAAGTACAGTCGCCATTTTGTTTCTGTGTTGCGAATGCCTCACATTACGATCCACTCAAAACTGGTGGCAACCCTATTCCGGAACTTCGCTACGCAGATGACACAGTCCTCATTTCAAACAGCGTAAAGGGAACTGAAAATGTAATATTGTCTGTCCAAAAGCACAGTGAAGATCAAAATTTGTTACTGAATTTTAAGACAACGAAAATAATGTCCACAGGTGAAACTGGCTGCCACCCAAAAATTACAATAAATTATGAAGAAATTGAATATGTCACAAACTTTAAATATCTAGGCTCTATAATAAATAGCAATGGAGACTGTTTGACAGAAATTAAAAGGAGGATGGCCACAGCAATGCAAAGATTTAAAAGCATTAAAAGTCTATGGTTAAGCACCAGCGAGGAGATCAAAATTAGAATTTTGAGAGCATGCATCTTCCCTGTGGCTACATACGGATGTGAGTCGTGGACTATCTCCCAGTCCTTAGAAAGAGAATGGGGGCTTTTGAGCTGAAATGCTATAGAAAGATTCTCAGAATATCTTAGACAAAGAAGAGGAGAAATACTGATATCTTGAAAGATCTGAACAACAAGGAAGATTGGCTAATAAACAGCATCCTGTCCCAGAAGCTGAAATATTTTGGTCATATCAAGCACCAAAACAGATTTGGTACTAGGAAAGAGCGACAGGGGCCAACCAACATGAATATGGGCACAGGATATAAGTGACTCCTTGAGTATGAAAGTACATAAGACAGGAGAGCTGGCAAGAGACCTAGTTTCTTTCAGGCAGACGTGATGAGAGCGACATTCTGCAAAGGACCTGCTTCATGATGATGATGATGTTGCAAATGTGCATGCAACACCTAGCGCCACCTAACAAACCAAGACATAAAGTGGTATTATGCTTTTCTTCCCATAAGGGAATACACATAATAATGTAATTATGTAAATACACATAATAATGTTTGTTAAATGCTGAAACCATCAATTACTTACCATTACATCTGAAATGTAGCGGGTAGAACTTCCATTGGCATACGCTGTTTGCACTAGACCGAGACTGAGTGTCAAACCACTGGACGTCAGCAGCTCATTCAAGAAACCTGCAAACTGGAATGACAAGAAACATCTCATACAAAGCATATTCCTTCTCACTCATTATACCAGTGCCAGACGTGGTCACAAAAAACATAAAAGAAAAGGAGTAAACATGAAAATGAGATGTCTGAGGAGTGCTGCAGATGTTACCAGAAGAGACAAAAATCAGGAATGAGGTCATAAGAGAAAATGTCAGTGCAGAACCAATTTTAAATTTCATTCAAAGACAGTAAATCGGACAGTTTTCCCACTTAGAGAGAATGCCCTGTGATGCTATACTATAAGACATACATCAAAAGAGGGGAAGTAGGCAGAGCACAAGATAAACCAAGAAAAAGATGGAAAGACAACATCAGAGACACTCTACAACAGCACGATGTGTCTACAGTCGAAGCAGCCATAAGAGCAATAAGCAAAACCTTTTATCTCCCTTAACACTCAAAATGGTAAAACAGGAAGTGAAGAAGAAGGTTTTCACTGCTTACTTCATTTCAATATGTCAAATGTTTATGCATGTGTCTGAAATTAATCTGCTTCCATTAAATGAGATCAACAGGCAATATATCATGGTATTTAGTTTGTTGACATAATATAACTTAAGACATTCTGAGGAGCGGTGGTCTAATGAGTTCAGTCAACAGAATTGGCGAGATCTTTTCCAGCCAGTATGAAATATACAATACCACCACCTATGAGGTAAAATGTTTGAGAAAAGCCTCTAACCAAACTACAGAGAACAAGTGAATTATGAGACTATCAGACAGATTCTGGGAACAACACCTCGTACTAGATTCATTGAGAAACAGCGGATCAAGTGGTTTTGTCATCTCGTTAAAATGGGAACAAGAGGACAGCCATGAAAATACAGACCGACAATATTAAAGACACTCTACACCTTCACAGCATGACAATTTTGAGTGTCAGCCAGCGTGCTATGAATTACAAATTATTCCTCCCCACGATGCTTAACGGCAAAAGTGGTTTATAATGATGATAGCGTTGATGATACAATGTAAGTCAACCAAGCTTAACTAAAATCAGCAACACTATCTCACTTCATATGGATGGCGTGCTGAAAGGTGTGAAGCCTGAACCTTTCCACCCCAATAACAGCAATTCTGTGGGACAACCTATACTTGTTGGTATATGGAAAACATCAGATAGAAAATCATCATCATCAGCAGCACTGATTATCATCATCATCATGATATTCTTTGCATTCTTCTCAGAAACTACATCTCTGCTGCGAGTAAATGTTTTTCAGCATTTTTTTTACTTACTGTCCATGTTTAAAATGGATATAACAACACAGGTTCTACACAGCACTTAAACACTTTTTTCTCACTGCAACTGACATCTTCTAGTTAATGAGAATCTTTTGTATCTGACTAAATGCCACTTTTGCCATGGCGACTCTTGTTCTAATTTCTGCACGGCATCTTGCATCAGATGTTATGACTGTTCCTAAATAGTTGTATCTATTAACTTGCTTCAGAGCTTTGCCATCCGCATGTATTTCACACTTTGGCAATTCTTTCTTGTTGGTGATCACCGTAATTTCTGATTTCTTAAAATTTAAACGCCAAACTCAGTTTCTCATTGTGAACTATCACTCCACCTACTAAACACTGTAGATCTTCTTCACTCTCTGCCATCAACAGCGTATCATTCTGCATACCTTTAATATCCTCCCATGTTAATTCCCATCATATCTTCAGATGTTGCCTAATATTTTCACTATATGAGGAAAAAATATGACATTGCTCATGTCTCCACACATCTCTGTCCTTGGTATTCTGAGACAATTCCAATGATGATATTCCACCATGCCATCACATTAGGCCATGAAGCATTGTCTCTCTTGGTCTCCTTCTGCCTCTTCTACTGTTGAACTTTCCAGCCATCACAATGTTCTCCACTGCCTCTTTTCTCATTAGATGACATAGAACACTGACTGCCAGGTGGAAAATGCACCACTGAAATAATAAACAGAATAAGACAAGCAAAAACAAACACCTAGCCACACAGCCATGGAAGCATAACTGATTGTGCCCCGGCTTCAATCGCCAGCTCAGATGTTTTTTCAGAAGACACTGTTTTTAGGGTTAAAGAAACGAACTAATCACTCTATTTCATAATGCTACAACTTGGCATGCATGACACTGTATCATTTCTCACTGCCAAACAATATCTCCAATGGGTTATCTTTATCCTGTTCTAACTCAAGGGGGCAGTACTAGCAAGGATTCAGTGGCATTATTAAAAAGAAAATTATAAAAATTTCAATTCTAAAAATAGGAGTCCTCAATGTTCACACATTAAGCTATCAAATAAAATAAATATCTCGTAAGTTTAATATACACATGTGAAATAATGAGTATCTCTAAAGTTCAATATACACATGTGAAATAATGAGTATCTCTAAAGTTCAATATACACATGTGAAATAATGAGTATCTCTAAAGTTCAATATACACATGTGAAATAATGAGGATTTTTAAGCGAAAAATTAATTTTCATGCGTGCAAAATATAATGTTTCTTTGGATCTATTTATAGGGAAATGGTACGGCTTTATTCCATAAAAGATTTTTACCAGAGTGGCAATCTTGTCTCCATCCAGCAGTGCAAACTTGCCTTCTGCAGTCTTGTAGAAGTAGACAATCCTGTCTCCATCCCCATCAAAAGATGCACATCTCATGCCAGGTTCCAGGTTGATTCCTGGTGTGGATGCAGCAGTGAGTGATTTCATAACAGATAAAGCAATTTATAATTTAAAAACAGATATGACAATGTATGATTTTAAAGATATAGCAATGTATAGTTTTAAAGATAAAATAATGTATGATATGAAAGACAAACCTGTGTATGAACTGAAGGATATAACAATGTAGGATTTGAAAACAGGTAGAGCAATGTAGTTTATGAAAGATATAAAAATGTATGTCTTCAAAACAAAGTGTGACAGCTTGGTGGTTATTAAGATTCAGAATTCATGTGTCCTTGTGTGGGCTGTGGGGCCCCATTTTGAGTTTACTACTCCCCTTAACAAGAATTTTATAAAATTACGACTCAATTTGGGGGTGTTTCCTTCACAGTCAGAGTGAATCTGCCTGAGAGTGAGGAACCAACAATCTGCATACATAACAGATTTGTAACAGGCAAGTGCTTGCAAAATTTAAGTTCTGTAACAAGACCAAAGTCTAGAGGTGGACAAATAACAGAACTTTCTGCTGGAGTTTACAACTGGTGAACATGAACAAGAAGAACAACTTATGCACTAAGAGTTCACTTCAAAGCTAGTAAAATAATTTAACAAGGACCAAGATACCAGGAATTACATAATCAAATCTTTCACTAACTAGTGTTGGCGCTGTGAGGAGTTGCCAGGGGATCTGGCCGATGCACAGCACTCAAGGGAAAGGCGAGACAGATATACAATCAGACAGTTACTGGTGCCACTGAAATTGGGACTCTTCATTTGCTGCTGAAGATAGGGATGGAGCATTTATGGGAGTGTCCCAAATGCTCTGATGTCGATTCTTAATTCAACATTTAACCAACTAGTGTGAGCAACCAAGCTTACTTTCTAATGCTATGAATCAGCTCTTGTGAAGACACCCTTCACAAACATGATGCAACATTGTCCATTAACTTTTCTTTTCTATTTCTTCTGTTTGTTTTTTTTCAGTAGTCTTACCAACTGCATGATATATCTCTGTTTACCTCTAATATAAAAATAAATTTGCTGTGTTTTTTTTTTTTTTTTATGGTTAGTTTCATGTGTATCTTAGTATTGTTTCTCTTTTTTTTTCTTTTTCAAAACAGAGTATTTATCTGACTGTCTGTGGCACTTCTATGTTCATCCAATATTTGTAAACACATGCCTTGTGTCTATTTACACTGTGTTTTACATTTTTCAGCAGACACATCCAGCTTCTTATCAGTATTTGTTGATCAAGTTTTTCCTCCCAGGGCTAATGATATTTGTAATATTTTCACACTTTAGTGAGAAACAAAAATATGTATATGCATCATTTTGATCATCAGAACCATTTGTTTCATCAATGACTACTTTTACAATAAAATATATTTACCAGCAACTTTAAGAACCTACAGAAACAGAACAGAAACATTTCACTATTGTTTTGACCGACAGAAACACAAATCTGATATTAAAACCAAACATACATAAATAGATGTGACCATCTTGTCTCCTCTCAGGTTGCCGGTCTGCATCTGATATTTGTGACCATAGCTTCTACCCAAACCCTCTCTGTTATCTGATATTTGTGACCATAGCTTCTACCCAAACCCTCTCTGTTAACTGATATTTTAGCAAAGCTGACCTGCAGCAAGTTGTTTCCACATGCATTTTTATCCTTTCTTGGCTGGTACCTTCCCACTTTAGGCTAATTTATCTATTCAAAGTTTGCTGTTTAAATGCCCCATAAATTAATTTGTCAGTTCCCCACAGTTTTGATGAGTGCTCTTATAATCACCTACAGATCATAATACTCCAAGATTTGTCCCACTATATCAATGTTTGTCCAATATTCTTCGAAAAAAAATAAATCTTCACTGCTTCAAGTTTCAATAGTTCATCATCCATTGCCCACGATTCGCATCAAGGCAGAAAACAGGCCAATCACAACAACATTTCATTACCTCAGATCAATAACAGAAGGTCAAAGTGGTCAGCATCTAAGGAACCAGAGAAAGGGACATAACAAATATGTTGAATTTGTATGCAGTTAGACTCAGTCACAAAATATCTTCTGCAACATGCACAAATTACAGATATCTTGAGAGAAAAGCAACATATTAAAAATGAGAACTGTCAAATATTATGTATGCTCAACTCTAGTGTATGATGCAGAAACCTGGACAATGAACAAGCAACTAGAAAACAGAATTGAGTCTTGAGATGTGGATATGCAGAGAAGTGGTCATATTTAATGGAAACAAAAACAATCAAATACAGAGGTTCTATACAAACAGAGAATCAAAAGAGTGTTGCTGAAAGGGGGTGAAAAGGAGAAGAAAAGTGAAATATTTTGGCCTCATTCAAAAAACTAAACACTTTTTTAAAACCACACTGGGGGAAAAGTTGAAGGCAAGAGGTAGACAGCAATTATTGTTGGAGGACAACACCAAGAAATGGATAAACAGCATTCTAGAAGAGTGTACGACCAAGACAAGAGACAGTGATGGAGATTTATTGCAGCCAACATTCACTAGGCCTGACTGATCAGACTTGTACCCAGTGTTAATTTACTAATGTTTAAACTATTGTTTTCTTCCTCACCTACTGGAGCGGCCTGATACAGTTTGACAAAATCAGCACCACACTAGAAAATAAAACAAATCATTTAGTATAAAAATGAATACATTGTTCGCTTATCATTTATATATTATGTCTATTATTTATTAGTGTTATAAATATCTGCAGACAATATGCTTGCATTGTTTGCTTTGTTTAATAAACACTTCATAAGAAATATTCCCAGATTGTTACTACCTGCTAAAATACTTAAACTTCATTCACTTACAGAGACAGTCAAGTAGGTACATGTGAAAGTGTTTATTGTAAAAAAATTAACCAAAGATAAGACTGATAATACAGTGGGACCATCAACATACACATAGCTAACAAAACAACAAGAAAGGTTTTTTTTTCTCAAAATGTAAGGTTTTAATTAAATAAATATCCCCTATTATGCCTCCACATTTATGTGACAAAAGGGTTTCCACAAACTCAAACTAAAGCACATGTAATGACATGGAATTCCACGCAGGACAGGTCAAGGCATAGGTACCAGATAAAGACACAAACTATGATATAAAATAAAGAAAACAGAGACTATAAAGAAAACAATATTTAGCAAAAGCAGTCGAAAAAATATCTTCGTAGCACTTAATTAATCGTTTACTTTCTTACTTCCTTGAAAACTGCCATTTTATACTTGAAATGCCTGCCAAATGAGTATCAGTGCTGGAGATCATGATGACTAATCAATTATACTTTTCTGCAAGATCAGATGATGGTTATTATACTTTAATTATACTCTGAATCCATTTACCTGATGATTGAGCTTTCCAGATGAACCATCGTTGATGAAATGTATATTTAAGGCACCTTCCAGTTGATTGATTAGCAATCTCATTTTTGGTGCTCCAACACCATTTGCAAGATCAACATAAATTTCTGGTACATACTTAGACGCTTTCCTCTCCTTTGATGAAACGAAATAAACAAAATCAAATGTTACAGCAAAATATGTGCATCTGAACACAAATTATCTTAGAAAAGTGCTTCTCAGCCAAAATGATCTTAGTCTTCAAAGATGTAAAAGTATTAACAACAACAAAACTGTGAACACAATTTGTGAGAGGCTAAAGGTGATGGAATGAATCAATTATGATGTTGAAACAATTGCACAGGATGGATGTATAACTGCACAACAGGATGGCGATGATGAAGTTTTTTTTTCTCTCACTATTTATTTAATGCAATTTAAAATCATCTACTGTAAGAACTGAGGTTAACTTGCAATACTATTTATTTGTGGCCTTCCTAAACCGGTGAAAACAAATGCCAAAACTGTTTCCATAAGTACCTTCTGTTTCCATAAGTACCTTCTGTTTACATAAGTACCTTATTAAGTTTTAGGAATGCTGTAGCAAGTTTTCTATAGTATCCCTCCTCCGTTGGTTCTCCATACTGGCCCTGAGTGTTCTGACAGCAAACAATGTAATGTAGCTGTGGTGTTGTCAACAAGCCTGGAAACCAAACAGAGCTTACTGAACTAAACAGTCTGTTGATGACAGAATTACTAGCAGAAAGTGAGCAGGAGTTACAGGATCTAATGGATCATGTCAAAAGGTGAAGTACAGAGTATGGTTTAGACTAAGGCTTTTCAACTCGTGGTCCACAGGCTAAGTCTGGTTTGCAGAAGCCTAGCAAGTGGTCAGCAGGTTACTGTCTGTTGTTTTATATTAATGATCTGTCCATGCTGGGGCTAGAGCCTCTGGCCCATGACAACTCCCATTTTCAAAATGTTAGCCCCTGAGTCAATTTAGCTGAAAAGCCCTGGTTTAGACATTAACATTTGAAAAACACATAATTAGGATAATTAACAATGGAAAGGAAAGGCCAACAGTGCACATCACAGAAAATGAATAAGATATCATAACAAGCAAGAAGTTGATGAGGGCTAGTCAATGCAATGTCCTTTGTCTATTGCAACTGTACAGCTAACATCTACTTTATATTTTTCTAATATTTTTAGACTTCTAAAAGAATTTACCAATGATTTGTTAACATTCATTCCATGCTTTGATGCAGGATTTCAAGAATGTTTTTTTTTTTTTCTGTTCTATCCCCTCTCATAATGTAGTTTAAACAAATTTCAACTGTCTCTTCATTATATCTGTGATAAGCTACATTTGTTACTGACAATGTTTAATCATGCAGTTTACTCATTTTAGCTGTGCTAGATGTTTTCACTATGTGGCCTTTTTTTTTTTAAATATCCAGAAACCATGAGTTCTTAACCCTTTGGCTCGGTACTATGGATATCGCAACTTTTCAGCCTTGATTCAACGATAAATACCGCAAATCTGGGAGAAATGTGGCTTTTCTGCCTACCCCTGAGCCCGAACCCTAAGGAGTTCGTCGTGAAGTCAGGGTTAGCCAACTACGCTAACGAGCCGCTAATGAGAAAATGAAAAGACAGGTTGGAGAGGAGACAAAGAAGAGATGAGACAGGAGAAAGAGCTAATAGCTATTATATATATATATATATATATATATATATATATATATATATATATATATATATATATATATATATATATATATATATACACACACACACACACACACACACACACATATATATTTTTTTAACCTTTATCCCCCATTTTCAGAATTGAAGAAACTCACTCTTATGCTAACTTGTCATGACTGGGACTTTCTGAATACAATTTTCTTCATTATATAAAATAAAGAGAGCCATGAAAGCATAGTGGCTAGCCACCTGCCTGCCAGCCTGAAGGTCTTGGATAATGATGAATCTCTGACACTAATACAACTGTGTGACATGCCAGTAAAGTATGGGGACGCACCTCTATACCACCTCATAGGATCAACCTTGGAATGGTTTGGACTCAGCACACATGAGATTGCCCAATGTGCAGTGGTGTTGACTGTGATAACCTCTTGGGTTCAAGATAGATCAAGGTAGAATTTTTTTTTTTTCAAAATTTATTTTGCATGCTAAGTTGACTCAGCCTAAAATGGGTACCAGGAAATGTCCTGGGAAGCAAAGATGGCTGACGTGATGTTGACCACATCGATGCCAGCTGGTCTATAAAATGTGTGTCCAGCATCATTTGCTTGATGACCATGTGCGTAAAAAAGGGTTCCTTATTGTTTTTTTATTTACTAAATATAACCAGGTGTTTGTTTGTTCTGTTTGGGTTCCCTATTTCTGGAATACATATTCCATCTGTTATCCACGTACCTAACTGTTACAATTCTGTAATTTCCCCAAGTTGAGTTTAATTGTATATGCATGACCAAATTCTTTAACATTATCATTATTTTTGTTTTTTTATTATAAAAGCTGTGGATCTTATTTCTGCTTTCTGCGACCACTTTATTGCTAACTGTCTGCTATCATGGCCATGGCCACTGACTTAACTGTATGTGTCGATTATTCCCTACCAAAAAAATTGTTGACACATTCCATTTCTGGGGTCAGTTTCTATCGAGTTTTGCTCTCTAGACAGTTGCAGTCCCTTGCAAAACTATCGGTCATTATATTGCCCCGACATAGCATAACCACAATACACGCTGCTCCCACGAAAAACACATAGTATCCTGCGTTAGGAAACAGAACAATCCGAGAGAATTGACAGCCAGCAAAAATAAACACTGCTGCTATCCGCCATTTTGAAAACGGAAGTCTGTCTGCTATCAAAAGAAGAATATGTTTACATTTTTTATATATTTAAAACCACTGATTGCAATCCCTATCTAAGTTTCTACAAACGTCATCACAGATTCACTGTATAATTACAAATGAATGTATAATAATGACAATTTAAAGCAATTTTCACACACCAAAGTTGTTGCACTTTCCATTCAGCGCTTCAATGCCATCAGCTGCAGCCTGTGCCAGAGCTGGACTGCTTGATCTGGGCCAGGAATAACATGGTCAGTCAAATCAATGCAGTGAGGAATAACAACACTGGTCACCTATGGAAATCTTATCACATGATGAGGTTCACAACACAGTCCACAAACATTCTTCTGCTCCTTCATGTTTACTGGTAAACTCCGGTGGAAGGTTTTGGTTGCTTGCTCACTTCTGGACTTTAAATTTTGCTCCAGAATCTGAGATTATCCAGTTTACAGATCTATCTTATTTGTAAGCCGAATGTTGGTTCGTCACCACTCAGGCACATGCACTCTAATTTTGAAAGAAGCACCCCTAACTAATTGAATTGTATGGCACACTAGATAGGGGTTCTTTTTCTCCACACAATAGGGCCCCAGAACACATGCAGGGTGAGGTATACAATATACTCATTTTTAAATACTGAATCAGGCACTAATTAAAAGTAACAACCACAAGTAGTTAACTCTCCATATGCCTGTGATTACTTTTTAGTGGTCAAGGACAATAAACCCCAGCAGAAAGTCCTGGTTGTTCTTCCACTCCTGGACTTTGGTCTTGATTCAGAATTAGATTTTTGCATGTACATCTATTTTACAGATATGATTTATTTGTATGCAGACTGCTGGTTCCTTGTCTCTCCAACAGATGCACTCCAACTTTAAGGAAAGCACCCCTAATTAGTCACCTCCAACAACATTCTTGTTTGGGGGGGGGGGGGGAGGGGCAATGGGTCTTAGCTATTCTTTGTTCCATATGGAGCCCTAGAACTCAGAATAGGTCAGCTCCTTCAATCCTGAGAAGTTATAGTTTTTCTTCTTCTTCTTCGTTCATCTTTAAGAGAGTCCGGCACATTGTGTTGTCGAGAACCGCTGTTGTGAAGTTGCTAGATGTTTGCCTGAAGGGCTCGACGATCAGGAATTCAAATCAGCACCAAAGCAGATTTTTTTTAAATGACCTTGGCTCCTATGCCTGGGAAGTAAAGGCAGCTTGTGTCATGATGACCACATCACTAACCGAGTTCCATTTGGTCTATTAAATATAGGTCTGGCCCCATATACCAATTACATCTAAGGGCATGGAAAAGGGTCCTTTACATTATGTTGTGATTTAGAACTAAGCTGTGATATCTGCACTTTTTAGCCCAACACCTCTGATTTCAACAAACTTATAATTAGTTGTCTTTTAGCATATGCTTGCTGGGGGCAGTGGGTCGATACTTTGTTCCTCCAAAATGGGCCATGATCCAACATGGGGCAGTTACAGTATAAAGCTGCCTATGTTTGAGTCAAAAAAAAGCTAAATTAGTAACACTGGAGTTAGTCTTTCCTCTTGTGTCGAGTGCGGCACATAGGGCAGAGGTCGTGACTCTCCATGCACGGCGGTCCGTTGCAATCCGTTGTAGGTCTTGGATGTTTGAGTGGCCCATGAGCGAGCCTTCCCTGATGATAGTTCTACGTAGGGTTTCCCTTGGTCTTCCACGAGATCTTTTCCCCTGTGGTGTCCAAATGAGGGCTTGGTAAGGAAGTCTTGATTTATCCATTCTAAGGACGTGGCCGACATAGTTCCAGCGGCGTTTTCGTATAAAATTAGACACATACTCTTGCCTGGATTCTTGCCTTATTTGTGTATTGGTTCGGAAATCTGACCATTTGAAATTTAGTATTCTTCTAAGGCATTTATTTTCAAAACTGTCTAATTTTGTGTCTAGAGTTTTCGTTGATTTCCAACTCTCGCATCCATAGGTTAGTACTGGAATCACACAAGAATTGAAGATCTTGAGTTTTGTGTGTTTGCTAAGTGTCTTTGATTTCCAGATGTTAGACAGTTTATTGAAGGCACTAGATGCCAGTGCTATTCTAAATGATATTTCTGGTGCGGTATCTCCTGTAGATGACATCTTGCTCCCTAGATAAGTGAAACTGTTGACTTTTTCAAGGCTGTTGTTGTTCAGCGTGATATCAACTGAACTGTTGGTAAGGTCTAGAATTTTTGTTTTTGCGGTGTTAATTTGGAGTCCAATTTGTTCTGAGAAATTCTGGAGTCGATTGATTTTTTCTTGGGCGTCTGTGTGTTCTGAACTCAGGAGTGCTATGTCGTCGGCGAAGTCTAGGTCTTCCAGAATTTTGTCAACCCATGTAATGCCTAAATTTGCGTTATTTATGCACTTGCGCATGACCCAGTCGATTGCTATACCAAAAAGCATCGGCGATAGGACACAGCCTTGCTTCACTCCTGTTTCCACCGGGAACCAGTCAGAATTGCCGGAATCAGTTCTTACACAGCATCGTGTTTCATTATAAAAAGATTTTATGATGTTGATATATTTGATGGGGAAACCATAGATGTTAAGCAATTTCCAGAGTGTTGGACGATGGATACTGTCGAAGGCTTTTTGAAAGTCGACAAAGTTGATCAATAATTTCGACTGGAATTCTGTAGAATCTTCAACAATTATTCTAAGAGTAAAGATGTGGTCTATGCATGACCGCTTGGATCTAAAACCGGCTTGTTCTTCCCTTAATCTTTCATCTATGGATTTTTTCAATCTTTCTAGTAGCATACTACAAAATAGTTTCCCTGGTATCGAAAGCAGGGTGATGCCTCTCCAGTTGTTACAATCGGATAAATCACCTTTTTTAGGTAATTTGAAGATTACACCATCTTTCCATTGTTGTGGTGGGTATTCGTTTTGCCAGACTTCATCCATCAGCTGGAGCAAATGTTGCAGGGTGTTTTCATCCGCTGCTTTGAGCATTTCCCCTGAGATGTTGTCCTCTCCGGTAGCTTTGTTTTTTCTTAATTTTTTAATAGCTGTTTTAATCTCCTCTATTGTGAATGACTCGCTGGAGGCAATTAGTGTTGGTGTAATTGGAACACTGGAGCAGGGAGGCTAAAACTAATAATCCAGACATTCTGAGTTAATATAATATAACAATTAAATGTTTATCTATTATGAGAGGTTTAATGAGGAAAGATCAACTTAGGAATTATGATATCAGGAGAGTCGGCAAGGAAACAATACTGAACTTTATCACTAGACAGCAAATTGAATGGTTTGGCCAGGTGACAAGATTGGACACTGACAGGGCACCACAAAGAGCAATGTTATACAGATACAATGGTAACAGAACCAGAGGTAGACCACGGATAATATGGACCATAGAAATATCGCAGACACTGAGATCTCAACACTGACCTGATGCTACGAGGCATTCCAGGAGTAGAGAAAAGAAGAAGAAGAACATAACAATTATCTGTGATAGGAGAGAGTAAAAAATGTGTGTCCTCCACTTCAGGCTGCTATCTGACATTTGATACCCTGAGTATGAGTAATCTCCATCTAATGGAAGATCAACAGGGCAAATTGCAGATAACCCATTTAACCCGCAGAAAGGGTGTAACAGAGGCACACATGATGGCTACACCAACCCGTTATAAGTTGCAGTTCTGTGCAGCTAAGGGGTGTAGGGGGGGGGGGGGGGGGGGAACTAATCAATGAACATTTGATGAGCTTAACTATACTGAAAGAGTTAAGTTCCGGTTTTAATTCATTGTGTAGAAACATTTAAATTTCTAATTCAATGTTACTTTTTTAAGTGGAAAACAAATTAATGGCAACTGATGCTCTGATTGTTTCTTTTCTTATTGCTAGCCTTTATAAATAAGTGTTTTTCTGCATGGCCTGTTAATCTAAGCCACAATATCATAGTGGTTAGTGCCCTTATTTGTGTTATGAGTTGTGTTATTTTCACGGCACTCTAGACACATACACCAGTGACTTGTGGTTTCTAGTGCCATTCATGTGCTGGTTAACCAGACTTCTTGTATGCCTGGTGTGCCTCTCATGCCTGGCTGTGCCAATCTTTACTCCCAATTCTTGCAATCTTAGCAGTGATGTGGACCTGCTGTTCCTTAAACACTCTGATCTCATACCTCTATAACTGCATGAACAATGTCGAAACAATCCATAGACAACTAAGGCAGAACTGGTCAATCTATTAGCTCTTATCTGCCAAGAGTGTTATGGGTTCAATCCCCTGCAAAGCTACAATAATTAACAGAGAATCAGCCTAATATAAATGTGTACAATATTTTTTTAACTGACAAGGAAAGACAGTCAGCATCTTTTTCTTTTTTTTTTTATTTCCTCCCTTCACATGCATGCAAAATCAGAGTTCATGAGACAGAAAGTACATTATAAATAAAGCTGGTCGTCATCATAAATCAGCAGGTCATTTACAGAGTGATGCTCTCACCACTGCACACATGAAAGTGTTGTTTTTGTTTCTCTAGCCAATTCTCCTGCCCTATGTGCTTTCATACTTAGTGAATCTTCAATGTCTGTATTCACTTTCATGGAGGCGCTGCCTCTGACTAGTTAAATAAAGCTAGTAAATGCTAGTTTTAAAAAAAACATACAATTATTTTACCTTGTGTCCATGGCAATAGACACAGAGGCTGGCTTGCTCAAGTCAATATTTTCACTCTTGATGATACTTCTCAGCACATCGGCCACCTGGTCATCACTGCAAGAACATGATTTGTTATTAAATTATACTGAAACATTTCTTCAAACAGCCTCTCTAAATACTGAAAATATTTGAGTAACAGGCAAGGAACAAATGTGGTTTTTTTTTTCTCTACATTTTATATTTTCCAAATACTAACATTTGAACAGTTATACCATGCTGAGACACATCTTATCAATATTTGTATTCTTCTTAGTGTTCAGCGGTTGTAAACTCAAGTGGAAAGTTCAAAATGTTTACCCATTATTGAACTTATGTCTTGTTCCAGAACTTGAGTTCTGCATGCATATCCGTTAAACAGATCAAGCTTTTTTGTAGGCAGATTGTTGGTTCCTTGCCTCTCAGGCAGATGTACTCCAAATTCAGAAGAAACACCCCTAATTAGTCACCGTTTACAACACTTGTTGGAGGGGGGGTGGGGTTTAATTCTTTGCTCCCCAAAATGGGGCCCCGGAACCCACAGAGGAAAATTTATATTTGTCAATTA